ACGGCTAGTTATTCATTTCTTCCCTGAATTCACATTGGCCGTATTGTTTTCTGCTCTAGTTATATATTTATCTTGCTCGTCTGTTTAGTTTAGAGTGTCCTATACAGTTGCTAGGTTTATCTTAACATTGTGTACATATTGATGGATCCATGGATTTGAACAGGAGGCGAATTCTAAAGGGGATAATGTTGGCGGTGTCGCTGACAAGGTTAAGGCATTATCTGGTTTGTATGGAGATAGTGGAGCGGCTGAAGAAACTGAGGAAGGAGAGATAGGTGCTAGCCCACGCTTGAAAAATGAAAAGACGTCAGTGAATGCCTCTGTCATGAACCAGAAAATGGACTTGGATGATCAGTATAATGAAGGGTTGTGTGAAGGACCAGTGAATAAAATGCTGAAGACAGGTACAAGAGTAGAAACTGAATGTAGTATTCCTAGGAGGGATGCATCTGCTTCAAGAAAATACGGTACCCATCCCTGTGAGGAGGAAGAGATGATCAAGAAGAATCCCACTAGGATCGTGTTCCCTTTAGATTTGAATGATGGAAAGGTTGACGATGATGAGATGGTAGACGATAATCCCATACCACTAGGTAATGACAACAACAAACGAAGATCACTCAGTATGGTCCCAAGTCTTGAGCTGGCTCTAGGAGAGGAGAAAACTACGCCGACCATGACCACAACGACAACCACAGGAGTCGTCTTGCCTTTCATGGCTGGAACAAGCTCCATTGAAGAACATAGAAGTAGCACTAGTAGTGAGAAGCCACAGGATCGGATGGTGAATCAAGAAGACGAAGCAGCCTCCCTCTCGCTATCCTTGTCCTTCTCATCCAAGGAGAATGTGAATCAGAGATCAGTGTCTGGATGGGACCGCAAGAAGCAGAATGTGAATACTCCTATGTTTCTCTTTAGAGACTTCCCTGACAAATCCTGATAGGTTCTTCTTACTTGTTAGGGGTAACAATATCATCAGAGACATGGGGAAGCAGCTTTGGATCATCTGTTGATAAAATAAAATAAAACCCA